GCAGAGGCACAGAGAGGTTAAGATTTGCTTGGTCATACACCTGACAAATGGTGTCATCAGGAAAGCCCAGCTAGTAAGAGGCTGATCCAGGATGCACGCACCATTCTACTTGTTTCACAGATGAGAAAACTGAGGTTCAGAGTTTATTTGACTTTAGCTTCACACACAACCAATGAGTAGCAAAGCCAGGCTTCAGAGTGGGTTTGTTTGCTTCTAAGCTCCCTGCCCTTCACCATGCTGCTAGTTTTAAAGGGAGATGCTTAGATGCTTCATTCCATTTTAAACACACTGGGTTGAGGTGATGGTGAAATTGCCTAGTAAAATCTAGTTGGTGATTGGAAATGTGACACTGGAGTCTCTTTGCTTCACTGATGTACACCAAGCACCTAGCATAGTGCCAGGCACATGGTGGGCCCTCAGTAAATAATTACTGGAGGCAAGTGGTCAAACTGGAGATATTATCTGGGGAGTCAGTCTGTGGAATCCATGGGTGGGAGAATGGCTGAGGGCTGGAGATCCAACAGGCTGTGCTGCATGACTCTCAAGACATCTGTCTGGAAAGGAGCTGCTGCTTTGGGGACTTTGGTCCTCTGGGTTGCTGAGAGGCTCAGTGGGTAGAGCAAGAGCTTTGACATGTGACAGACGTGGGTTCAGATTCCTGCTTGGCCAGCACAGCAGCTGCATGACCTTGGACAAATTACTTACACCTTTCTTTGTCTCATTTTTTATTGTTGTTTTTCTTGTTGGGTGCCAACTCATAGCGGTCCTGTGTACAATAGAACGAAACACTGCCTAGTCCTATGCCATCCTCACAATCATTGCTGTGATTGAGCCCATTGTTGCAGCCCCTGTGTCAATCTTACCTTGTTGAGGGTCTTCCTCTTTTTCTCTGACCCTCTACCAAGCTGGATGTCCTTCTGCAGGAACTGGTCCCTCCTGATAACATGTCCAAAGTATGTGGATGAAGTCTTACTATCGTTGCTTCTAAGGAGCATTCTGGCTGTACTTCTTCCAAGACAGATCTGTTCATTTTTCTGGCAGTCCATAGTATATTCAATATTCTTGGCCAACACCGTAATTCAAAGGCATCAATTTTTCTTCAGTTTTCCTTATTCATTGTCCAGTTTTAGCATGCATATGAGGTGATTGAAAACACCATGGCTTGGGTCAGATACACCTTAGTCCTCAAAGTGTAATATCTTTGCTTTTTTACACTTCAGAGAGGTCTTTTGCAGCAGATTTGCTCAATGCAATCCGTCGTTTGATTTCTTGACTTCTGCTTCCATGGGTGTTGATTGTGGATCCAAGTAAAATGAAATCCTTCACAACTTTCATATTTCTTCCATTTATCATGATGCTGCTAATTGGTCCAGTTGTGAGGATTTTTGTTTTCTTTATGTTGAGGTATAATCCATGCTGAAGGCTGTAGTCTTTGATCTTCATCAGTAAGTGTTTTAAGTCCTTTTCACTTTCAGCAAGCAAGGTTTTGTCATCTGCATGTTGTAGGTTGTTAATGAGTCTTCCTCCAGTCCTGATGCCGAGTTCGTCATATAGTCCAGCTTCTCAGATTATCTCCTCAGCATACAGATTGAATAAGTGTGGTGAGAGGATACAACCCTGACACACACCTTTCCTGACTTTAAACCACACAGTATCCCCTTGTTCTGTTCGAACGACTGCCTCTTGGTCTATGTACAGGTTCCTCATCTTTCTGGTGTTCTCTGAATTCGGCTTGAATTTCTGGCAGCTCCCTGTTGATGTACTGCTGTGACTGTTTTTGAATTATCTTCAGCAAAATTTTACTTGCATGTAATATTAATGATATTGTTTGATAATTTCCACATTCCATTGGATTACCTTTCTTTTGGAATGGGCCAAATATGTCTCTCTTCCGTTTGGTTGGCCAGGCAGCTGTCTTCCTAATTTCTTGGCAGAGACGAGTGAGTGCTTCCAGCGTTGTATCCATTTGTGAAACATCTCAATTGGTGTTCCGTCAGTTCCCGGAGCCTTGTTTTTCTCCAATGCCTTCGGTGCAGCTTGGACTTCCTCCTTCAGTACCACTGGTTCTTGATCGTGTGCTGACCTGAAATGGTGAAATATCGACCAATTCTTTTTGGTACGGTGACTCTGTGTATTCCTTCCACCTTCTTTTGTTGCTTCCTGTGCTGTTCAATATTTTGCCCACAGAATCCTTCAGTATTACAACTTGAGGCTTGAATTTTTTCTTCACTTCTTTCAGCTTGAGAAATGCCAAGCGTGTTCTTCCCTTTCGATTTTCTAACTCCAGGTCTTTGCATGTTTTATTATAATACTTTGTCTTCTCCAGCTGCCCTTTGAAATCTTCTGTCCAGCTCTTTTACTTCACCATTCCTTCCTTTTGCTTTAGCTACTCTACCTTCAAGAGCAAGTTTGAGAGTCTCTTCTGACATCCATTTTGGTCTTTTTTTTTTTTCTTTCCTGTCTTTTTAGTGACCTTTTGCTTTCTTTATATATGATGTCAATGACGAGTTATGGGATGACATCAAGAACAAACTGAATTCACAAACTGAATATGCACGTAATCAGTGCCCAGATCAAGGAACAGTCCATGACTGGTGTCCCAGGAGCCCCCCTTGTACCCTTTCCAATCACTGTCACCCCCCGAGGGTAACCATGGTGCTGACTTCTAACCATAGATTAGTTTTGTCTGTTTTAGAACATTTAGGGTCTGGTTTCTTCACCTGAGCCAATGTTTATGAGATTCATTCATACTGTTGCGTGTAGTTGAGGATTGTTCATTCTCATTGCAGTATAGAATTCCATTGTGTGAATATAAACCCCATTGCCATCAAGTCAATTCGAACTCATAGCGACCCTATAGGACAGAGTAGAACTGCCCCATAGGGTTTCCAAGGCTGTAATCTTTCTGGAAGAAGACTGCCACATCTTTCTCCTGCAGAGTGGGTGGTAGGTTTGAACCACTGACCGGACAGCTGAGAGCTTAACCACTGTGCCACCAGGGCTCCTTTGTGTGAATATGCTATACTTTTTTTAATATATTCTATTATTGATGGGCGTTTGGATAGTTCTAGATTCTGGCTATTATGAGAATTGCTACTGTGAACATTCTTGTAGAAGTCTTTTGGTTCACATCCTATCATGCACATATCTGTTGGGTAGATACCTAGGAGTTGAATATGCTCAGCTTTGGTAGTTGTTGCCAAATAGATTTCCAAGATGGTCATATTACATTTACATTTTTACCTTTTCACCAACGCTTGGGTCCCCCCCCCCTTTTTTTTTCATTTTATCCGTTCTGTTGCTTGTGTAGTGGTAGCATATTATGTTTTAATTTGCATTTCCTGACGACTAATGAAGTTGAGCACCTCTTCATGTGCTTATTGGCCGTTTGGATATCCTCTTTTGTCTTTTATCTATTCAAGTCTGACTTTTTCTTATCGAGTTACTAGGAATTCTTTATATATTCTGGATATAAGTCTTTTGTCAGATAGACATATTGTAAATATCTTCTCCTTTGAAGGTCACATTTTTATTCTTTTAATGATGTATTTAGATGAACAGAAGTTCTTAATTTGGATATAATCCAGTTTATCAAATTATTCTTTTATGATGAATTCCTTTGTGTCTTCAAAAGAAATCTTTGTCTACTCCAAAGTCACAAAGACATTCTCCCATTTTTCTTATCAAAAACTTTATTATTATAGCTTTCTCATTTACAGCTGCGTCCATATGGAATTGAATTTTGTGTTTGGTGTGAGGCAGGGGTGCAGATGTACTTTTCCCATATGTATATCCAGTGGACCCAGCACTGTGTGTAGTGAAAGACCATCCTCCTTCCTGCAGTATTGCCTTTCCCACAAACCATGTGGTCTTGTACATGTGGATCTGTTAACTGGTCAGTGTTTCTCCGCTTGCACCAAAACCATGCTGTCTTAAGTACCATAGCTTCATCATAGGTCTCGATATCTGGTAGTGCAAGTCCTGTAGCTTTATTCTTCTTCGTCAAGAGAACCTTGGCTATTCTTGGCCTTTTGCATTTCCATATGACTTTTAGAATGAGTTTGTCAATTTCCACAAGAAAATCTGCTGGGATTTTTTTTTATCATGACTGTGTTGAAACTACAGATTTAGAAAGAATAAATCCCTTTACAATATTAAGGGAAGAATTAGTACAATGAATTCCTATACATTCACTATCTAGATTCAACAGTTGTTGATAGTGTGTCTTATTTGTTCTACACATACACACACACACATATTTTGTTTGTTTGTTCTTATTAAACCATATCATAGTAAATTACAGTCATCATGGGCACTTTTCCTATAAACACTTCAACATGTATCTTCAGAGTCTAAGAATAATCTCCTGCATAGTCAAATTTCCCAAATTGCCCTCCAAATATCTTTTGTTGCTCCGTGTTTTTTTTTTCCCCAAAAAACAATTCAATCAATGATCCTGCATTGCATTTGTTCATTATGCCTCCAGAATCTCTTGATTTCGAACCATCTCCCCTCTCTTATTATGAGTGACATTGACTTGGTGTAGAGATCAGGCCAGTGGTCTTGTAGATGTCCCACATTCTAGATTTGTCTGATTGTCCCCTCATAGTGTTATTTACTTGTTCCCCCATCCTCTGAACCTCCTGTAAACTGGAACTTAGATCTGGCCTTAATTTGATTCTGATTAACCTCACTAAACCTTCCTGGGGTTTCCTTCCTGCTAGCCCTTCTCAGAGTGAGTTGTGTGAAGGGCAGCAGGAAGGAGAGCAGATGTGTAAAGCTTTAGTGCCTGGTACACAGCAAATGCTCAGTACGTGGTAGCAGCTCTTACTGTTTGTCCCTGCCTAGACCAGGCATCTTACCCCAATGTTTGTTCCCAGGAAGCAGTTTCCCTAAGGCTTCTTCTGTCCCAGCCAGTCAGTAGAGGCTTCCCTGTAGCTGGGGCTCCTGGCTTTATGCTGCCTTGAGCATCCCCCATCTTTCTCTCTTCCCGCCCTCAGACAACACAGGCAGTTCCACGTACCGGCCACCCCCTCGGACTCGGGAGGTGATGATCAACGGGCAGATGGTGAAGCTGAAGTACTGCTTCACCTGCAAGATGTTTCGGCCGCCCCGGACCTCACACTGCAGTGTCTGCGACAACTGTGTGGGTGAGTGTGAGCCAGCAGGTTGGGATGCAGTGCAGGGATCCCTGAGAGGGACCAAATTCTGGGGATGAAGGGTAAAGGAGGAGACAGTCTGAAATATTCAGGGCTGGGCAGGAAGTCTGATTCCCCCAGATTTTTCTCTGGCTGATGAAGGTGAGGGACTCTGAATATGGCCAGAGGTGTCCTGGCTTCAGCCCAGGGTTGATGGATTCCTTTCCCCCAGCTCTGATGTGTGGGGCAGACACAGAGAGGCTCTGAACCCCTTCTCCCAGTCTTTAGCCTGGTCCCTACTAGGTCCAAGTTTCCAGGAGCCAGAGGCTGGAGCAGTAACGTTACAGATGTGTTTGTGCCGAGAAGAGAATGATGTACCATCCAGTGGCCAAGGGCTGGCTATACTGAAGGACTTTTATCAGATTCCCAGGGTTTGGGAGGGACAAGAATCTGGGAACAGAGGTGTTTGAGCTGGAGAGTTGGACAGAATGTTACCAGAGTTGGGATCTAGGCTCCTGTTCCCCAGCTGCAGTGGTTGCTGGGGAACCAGAGTCTGTTTGGTCCCCTCTCCCCATTCTCCAGAGGCCCCGTGGCTCTGATGGAGACTGAAGGTGGGCCCCTGGGAGGGTGTTGTAAGAGAAATGCTGTGTGCAAGGACAGGGGAGCTGAACCATGGTGACTGTGCACAGCTCTCAGGGCAGTGAGCTCATGATGCCAGCTCAACAAGAGAACAGTAGGAAACACCCCATGACAGCAGGCCATGGAGTGGGTGACTCAGTGGGCATCATTCATCCCTGAAAATCTGCCCCACCCACGCCCCGCAAAGGGTGCTAGCCCTGGCGTGAGGCCTACAACGGGCTTGTGACCCACATTCTCACAGGGGACTTTCCTCACTAATCTGGGTGTGACCGTACTTCCGGAGACATAGCACTGCTGTGAGCTCAGCCCTCTGACCTGGCCCAGCAGTGCTGCTTCTTGATGAGTTACCTAGCGGCCCAGCCCCTCCCTGGGCCTCTAGTTACAGAGCAAGAGACAGAGGCCATTGGCTGTTGGTATATGGCCAGGGTAGTAGGCCAGGCAACATGTACTTTTTGTGGGTGTTCTCTGTACCAGGCCTTGGGGCTTCAGCACAGTGTGAGGCAGTACAACCCCCACCTCATGGAGCTTATAATCAAGCAGGGGTAGTTGGCCAGCTCATCAATGATAAATGTGTAAACACACATGGGCAAAGTGCTGCCAGAGAAGTGCCAGAACAACAGGGGCAGATGTCAGGGGCCCCCACCTAGCCTGGGCTCAGAGACTTTCTTAAGGAAGCAGCTTTGAAGCTGAGACATGAAGGTAGGAATCACTGTTTACCAGGTAAAGAGACAGCAGAAGAGTGTGTGAGGCAGTGGGAACCAGTGTACAAAGGGCCAGCAGCAGGGTGTGTCCAAGGAACTGAGAGTTGGCTAGTATGGAGTGAGTGAACGGGGTGGGAACACCCTGGCCAGGGGTGAGGCCTCCAAGCACCTGTGCTGGCTGTGAGCCAGGCAGATGCTAACCATCTCCTCTTGTCCTTTTCCAGAACGGTTTGACCATCACTGCCCCTGGGTGGGAAACTGTGTGGGGAGACGGAACTACCGCTTCTTCTACGCATTTATTCTCTCCCTCTCATTCCTGACGACCTTCATTTTCGCCTGTGTGGTCACCCACCTGACGTTGCGTGAGTTAGGGGAGGCGGGCAGGAGGAGCAGACCAGCCAGGTCAAGGGGCTATGGTCACCACCCCTCTGAGCTGTGTACTGTCCTGTTTCTTCCTCGCCAGGCTCTCAGGGAAGCAACTTCCTCTCCACTCTGAAGGAGACACCAGCGAGATATCCTTTATCGGCTAGTGGGTGCCCTGGTGGGAACACGAGGCCCCATCACTATGGCGGGTCCCCACGCCTCATCTGTAAGCAGAAGGGGTTGGTGTAGAACACGTTTGTCCTCTGAAGTCCAGTGCATCAGCTGCTTCTGTTCACAGTAGTCCATGCTGCTCCTAAACAGGGTATTGTGGGGCCGGGGTGGCCAAGAACTCTCAGGAGTCACAGTCCTTGTCTTCAGGGGCTTGGGAGAAAGCATGTCCCTTAAGACAGCACTAAGCTGCCTAGAGCATGTCATGCCTGCAGTTCTTTGTGTCTCATTTCCCTCTGCTACCTTGGTCTTATCCTTCTTTTGAGGGTGGCTACCACACCCACCTTAAGGCTCAGGAGGTGAGCCTGCTGAGAAGTGGTGACTAAGCCACAGGAAGGGCTTGATTATAAAACATATTTCCTTTCTGGGGAAATAGTTCCATAGGAGGCTAGGTGAGAAAGGCCAAGCATGGCCAGCTCCAAGGCCCAAAGGAGGCTCCCTGCCCGACACACCCGGCTCTGATCGCCGTGTGAGTCCTTGACTGCCTGCTCACTGTGCTGGAGTTGGTGATCTGCTTCTTCTCCATCTGGTCCATCCTGGGCCTCTCAGGGTTTCATACGTACCTCGTCGCCTCCAACCTGACCACGAATGAAGACGTGAGTAAGGCTGGAGCTATTCCTTGCTCCTGGGCAGGATCCTCTGAAGGAGGCAGGGCTGAGGGAGCCTGCAGCTGCCATGGTGCAACCCTGGCCCAGGGACTGCTGGGAAAACATGGGCAGAAACATGAGGCAGCCAGATGTCTCCTCCCAGGCTCACAGCTTGGGCTCCCACGTGCTTTGGCTCCTCCATGCTGGCGCCCAAGCCCCCAAGTTGCTTTTCTCCACAACCCCGCAAGAGGCAGAACGCACACCATAACAGTCATTACGTTTGGCCAGCACATTCTGTTTACAGAGTTCTTTGAGTTCCCATCATCTCTTTGGGCCATTTTGCCAAATCTGAAGCGGAAGAAACAGGAGTGCTTTTTCCTCATTTGACATGAGTGACTTGCCCCAAGGTCACATGACTTGGAAGGGGTTGAAGCCTAGAAGTCATGGCCATGTTTTCTGTGCTGTCACGCAGCATTTAACATCCAGCAGAGACATGACTGTCCTCAGGGTGTCCGTGGGGCTCCCTGAGGCATCCCTGTTGAAGGGAGCAGCCAGGACAGGACAGTGGGGCTCCATTGACCCTCCCTACCTGACCTCCACCAACAAGCATTGTTTGAGTACCCACTGTGTGCTCAGCCCTGGGCCAGACCTGATGTCCCCTGGCTACCTTCCCAAACAATAGAAAAGCTAATGAGAGCATCTCTTCCAGAGGCCACCATCTGATGCAGATCAGAGACCCACGACCTAGTAGAAAATACGTTCTTTGACCTTCACCTCTCATTCTGGGAAACTTAACACGTGTCAGTGTGTCATGTGCTGGTGGTGGGTACAGAGCAGAAATGACATCAGCCAGCATCTCCCACAGTGGTTTCCCGAATGCTAATTCTATAGGATGTTATTAGGGGTTACACATAAGGGGTGCTGTGGCCAGGTAGGTTCAGAGCACTGGGTTAGAGTCAAGCGGGTATTCTTTACTGCAAAACTCCTCAGTGTCTTCAGTAGCTGACTGCACAAAGCTGGGAGGGGCAGGATCTCATTTAATACTCCAACAAGGCTGTCAGAGAGTTGGTATTGTCCCTGTTTTTCAAATGAGGATTGATAATCTATCCAGGGACATACAGCTGGTCAGTGGCAGGGCCAGCGTTCACAGCCAGCTCAGCCTGAGCCCTGTGCCCTTTTACTGCCTTCCCTCTTAGGTGGCTGGCCAGGGGAAGGGAGGATTCAGCTAAAAAGTTTTCTGTGGTTTTCTCTTTAGCTCTGCTCTGTCTTCTCTCCTAGTTGGGGGCTTCCTAATCTCTGCTGGGTCCCCCACATCCTCACTGAATGGCCTGGGTTAAAGACATGTCTCCTCTGATAGTCTAACCAGTCTTCCCCAGCCTCTATACTTCTGTACTAGAAAAGTGAAGCAAAGGGAGGTGCCTGACCCAGGCCTCCTTCTTGCTTGCAGATCAAAGGCTCGTGGTCCAGCAAGAGGGGTGGCGAGGCCTCCGTCAACCCCTACAGCCATAAAAGTGTTATCACCAACTGCTGTGCTGTGCTCTGTGGCCCCCTACCTCCCAGGTAAGCAGGAGAGAGAGAGGCCACAGTGCCTGGCCTGGCCAGTGGGGGATGGCCCTGTGAGGCCCCACATGTCTCAGAGAGGGTCTTCGTATCAGCTGACCTCTCCCCACACCACAGACACCCTCTGTCGACAATCCTCTGGTGAATGCATTCAGGGCATTTGTCAGATAAAAGTTTTGTGGAGATTTATAATTTTTAATCACACGCGGTCATTTGTATAAAAAGTTAAACACAAAATTTAAAATAGAAGTGAATTAGATATTACATGTAATTCTACCCGCCAGTGATAACCACAATTAAAATTTTGGCCAGGCTTGAGTGACGCTGCCTTTCTGGTGCCTTAACTGGGTGGGTCCTCCAGCCTCCATCCTGGTGAAGAACCCTGGTGGCTCAGCCCTGCTGGAAAGCTCCCTGTCCATCCTGACACCAGGGGGCGCCAGAGCGCCAGAACGGAAGTTAACTTACAGACCACACTGCTGAACCAAGACTTCCCCGCAGACTCCCCCCAACACCCCTGCCGCCTATCCTGCGTCGGGAAGGAACACAGTAGAAATCTCACTATCCCCAAATGCCCTGTCATCCTTGCTTTAGGCAGGTGGACCAATCTGAATTTACTGTGGCCAACAATTGGGTGACCAAAGTGTAAAGGGAGACCTTCCAGAAGGGCAGGGTCTTGAGTCCCCAAGTTGAGGGCAGCTCCTCTTTCCTCAGACTTTTTGGGGCTAGGGCTTTCCTTGGGTGGACCCTGCCCTCTACCCCGTGGGCTGCTCCCATAGTGACTGTGGTGTTGGGCTGAGCACTCATGTGTCCCCTGCTTTGTGTTTGGAAGCCTGATCGACAGGAGAGGATTTGTTCAGTCTGACACCGTGCTGCCCTCACCCATCAGAAGTGATGAGCCAGCCTGTGGAGCCAAGCCCGATGCCAGCATGGTAGGAGGCCGACCTTGAATGGGGCTCAGTACTTGCCACCTGCTGGCCTGTCTGTCCTTCTGCACTCACCTGCTGCCCTGTACACCTTCTGGGACCCTCCCCATTCCACCTGAGGGACGCAGAGCTGCCAAAGACTCAAATCTTTTCGTATTTATTTCCCACCCTGCGTGGCTTTCCCCAAACTGCTCCATGGCTGTACCTTTTGCTTCCCAAACCCAGCTGATCCATGGCAGGGATGACAAGAGAGGCCAGAGCCTCTGGAAGCCACCAAGGGGACCATGCCTGGTCTCTGCCTGTGCCAGGATGAGCCCTGTGTGAGTGAAGGTGTGAGTTGAGCATGAGGCCACCCAGTTGAGAGAGCTCCTGGGGCCTTGCTAAGCCAGGTCCTCGGGGCAAAAGGTGGGACCAATGAGCAGTCAGCTCTGGACAATGGACTGGGCTGTGGGAGTGGAACCCTCCAAGCCTCCATGGGCTGCTTTGGTGTGTGGGCTCCTTCATTCTTTTTGTGATACATATATATATATTTTTTTGTATTCAGTTGGCCAATAAGATAGAGCTGGGGTTCTAGGTAGAGGGTAGAGTTGGGAGTGGGAGGGCAGGCAATCTATGTCAGAGGAAGCCAAACCAGTCAGCCAGCCAGGCACCCAAATCTTCAGCTCCTTTACAGTTCCTAGGCAGTACACTAGGAAGGGGACCTTGCCCTCCCCCTGCCTATGGAGGGCTCTCCAAGGGATCCTAGCCGGCCCACCCCACCTCCCTCCTGAGTCACATCTGGGGATGGGCAGGTTATGATCATGCTGGCAATACTTGAAACGGGTTTATTAATGCTGGATGTTTTGCACAATTTTATAGACCTCTTTTCTACATAGCATTTTTTAAATGGAAAGAAGGAGAAAAAAAAAAAAGTCAGCCACATTGCTCTGTATAGTGCCAGGTTAAGGGTCATCAGAAGGCAAGTTGGTTTTAATAACTTTATTACAAGAGACCTTCTGGCTATGAGTGTGTGTGTGTGTGTGTGTGTACTGTTTGTGTGTGCCTGTGCACGAATGTGGCCGGCTCCCACTTCCCCACATCCCCTGGGCAGCCCCCTCCCTGCTGGGCCCCTTGGGTGACAGGTGGCAGCAGCAGAGGCAGCCCAGGCCATGGGGGTGGGAAGCATGTGGATTGCTCACTAGAGACTTCTGGGCTCCCCCTGGGGCTCAGCCCCCACCCTCCTGTTGGATTTCAGACAACCAGCAGCACTGGACTCTGCCACCACCCCACCACCACCCAGCCCCCAGGTTAGGCTTCCAGCTGGGACCTGCCCAAACAGGCTGAGGCAGGGCATGGTGGGTGGGGTGATGGCAGTATGGGGAGCGGCTTCCATCCTACAAGCCACACATCCGCCTCTCCCAGCTCTGAGGATGGGACCCAGTACCAGCAGCTAGAGGTCAGGGTGTCTGCTGACTGGGGGTCTCCATCCAGAGAAAAGGAAGGAAGGAATGAGTGGCCAAGGCCAGTGAAGGTTGGCCTAAACCTAGGCTTCAAACTCATAGGATGTCCCTTCTCTGCTGGGAGCTATAGTGTCTTATCAAAATAGATAGAAAATTGTACCTGTGTCTCCCTCCTTTGCCCTTCAAGTGGGTGAAACCCTTGGAAAGTGACACAGGAAGCCCCTAGATCTTGCCCTTCTTTGCACCAGCGGCTAGTGCGTCACAGATAGAGCTGGGAAGTGGCAGCCACAGAGGGACCTGTCTGGGAGAAACAGCTTCCCCTCAGCCTCAGGGCCCTGGGCCATCACTGAAGTGGCCCTGGTAGGTGGGGAGGGGGCCCCACCTGCTTTTTATTTAAGCCAGTATTCTTTGTTCCTTGCCTGTAATAAAACTTTTGTTTTTAAGAGTTGATTTGCTTTGGTTTGGTTTTTGTTTGCTTTTCCTTTGCTGAGGGCCCAGCTGACAACCCTCTGTTCTTTCAGCCAAACTTGGGTCTTTCCTGGGGAGACAGAGAGAGGCAAGCAGCCCAGTGATGTGGCCAAAGTTCTCACCTCACTGGCGCTGTCTCTGCTGGAGGCAGAGCAGAGAGGGCTACAGCCTGGCCTGTGGGCGTGTGAGAGGAGCTTGTCCTGTCCCCTGTTCATCTCCTCCACCTTCCCCTGCCTCAGGGGCTTAGAGACTCCCAAGCTCTTCTTCCCTGCTGCCTCTTCCCCTGATTCCCAGCTACTGCCCAGCTAAAAAAAAAATTTATGCGACAATAGAGTCCAATTTGAGAGCGGGACCCCCGTAGCTATCCCTTGCCACCTGGGCAGCAGGGCCTGTCCAGACAACTCATATAACACTGGCCCACCTCTCTGGTATCTTCCCCAGGAGGACACCTGTCAGGATTTTGCCATCTCCTGCACAGCCTGAGGGGAGCTAACAGGCCTCTTTGCAGAGGGTTAGCTGGTAAGACTGTATCTACCCTGTTGGCCAGCACTGCCCGCTCCCCTCACACACCATCTCATCCTCGTCGCATGCCTCACCAACCCCATGGAGCCCACTCATCTGTCTGGTGTGTGGTATGGTGTGTGTGCTGGTGGTAGTAGGACCCCCAGGGCTGCTCCCTAAGCAGAAAGATCGGGGTAGAAGGGCAAGGCTAAGAGCCCAGCCCCATTCTGGACTGAGGAAGTAGCTTTGTAGAGAGCCACTCTCCAGCTGGAGCAGGAGGCGAAGGGTGAGGCTGGGATACCTACTCTGAGGTGCTTGGGTCTGTTCTGGTGGCATCCTGGTGTGCAGGGGCCCTCAGTCACTAACACTCTTGCATCCTGGCTTTCTGTCCCTGCTGAGCTTTCTCTCACCTGCCCGTTTTCTCTTCTGCTTTGTTGCCTGCTGCCCCAGCCCTGGCCCTTCTCTGGCAGAAAGCCAGTACTGTGGCAGCACCTGTCCCCGCCGACCGCTGTGGCCCCCGCAGGCCTCCTCTCTCCTCTCAATCCCGCTAACCCTCTCTCTTCTCCTTCTTTGCTGCCCTGCCGGGGATCTCCAGTGTGTGCGGGGGCTTAAGGACCTCCTGAGGACTGCTGCTCTCTGCCTCTCCAGGAGCGGCCTGGGGGGAGCCAAATACCCGGCACCTCCACCTGCCTAACCTGTGTCCCGTCTCCACCGTCGGTGCCTACAGGGTCTGCCCCCTATCCTGCCCCATATGTGTGCTCTCTGGTGCCCCTCCCATAGGGGGCAGGGGCTGGCCTCTTTGCCCCTACCCCACTCCATGCCAGTCAGGGTGTAGAAAGCCATAATGCAGCTGTCAGCACAACAATGTAGTACTCTACTGAGACTCTCCCTCCCCACCTCCACCTTACTCCCCCTTCCCTAGAGTTGAAAGGTGTCGAGACTTTTTAGGAATCTTGCCTTACAGCCTGTCTGCCCATCCCCCCCCCATCTCCCCCCGCCCAAATAAGATGAAACAGGCATAGCGATAGTCAAGCTGAGCAGGTTTCTTCAGGAGCCGTCTGGGGTGTTGATGAGGTTGCTGAACAAGTTTGGTGACTGTTCTAAGCACAACTGGCTTTGCCACTGTTCCCACGGCCTCCTCCACCCCCACCACTGGAGTAGGTAGGATGCAAGGAGGCCGCTGCCCCTGTGCTCCAGGCACTGAGGGCCTGAACTTGCTCTGCATCGCCCATGTTCTTCAGAGGAACTAGAGGAAACAGGCCGAGCTAGGGATCAGCTGAGCCCAGGGCTGGGGGCCGCTTATCTGCTGTCCTGTACCCTGTACCTTTTTTAACCAAAATAAAGATTCCCCTCTTCTTGCCATATCCTCGCTGTCGGTGCCACTTTCACTTTGGGTCTGGGGTGGGGCATGCAGTGGGTATGCAGGAGAACCTCTGGATCACCTCACCTCCATCTTTGTTCCAGCTGGTCAGTGCTGCTCTGGAGAGTAAAACGAGGAACAAGGAAGCCAGAAGGGACAAGGGAAGGGTGGCCTTTGCTCTGCCCCTCTAGAACTCCTGGTCTCCATTCCAGAGACCCCACCCCAAGCCTTAGCTGACCTCTGAACTCTGAAAGGTCCCAGCCCAGGCTGAGACAGAAGCACTAACTCGTTTGTAACTGTCACACCCCTGAGCTGAGCCCAGCTCAGGGTAACAGTCTCATGGAGCCTTCCCTCTCCCCAGCTGCCGCCTCGCATTGAGACGCACACTAAGAGCTGAAAAATAATTACAGCTACCGTTTACCTGGAAACCCTGGTGGCGTAGTGGTTAAGAGCTACGGCTGCTAACCAAAATGTCAGCAGTTTGAATCCACCAGGCGCTCCTTGGAAACTGTATGAGGCAGTTCTACTCTGTCATACAGGGTTGCTATGAGTCAGAATCGACTCGACGGCAACGGGTTTGTCGGGTTTACCATTTACCAAGGACTTGGCAAGTGCTGGGCCCATTTTCTCACCTTAACCTGTGAGGAAGGTAGTGTCAGCCTTTTTACAGATGAGGGAACTGAGGCTCAAGGAAGTCACAGGACTTACTCAGGATCACCAGCTGGTAAAGCAGTCAGTGCAGGGTTTGAACCTGGTCTCTGCCCCAATCTCTGACCTGTCTACAGTACCTGAGGAATGAACGAGGCTGCTCCAGGAAGATGAGCATCTCAGAGAGAGAAACCCTAAAATTAGACAAGTCAGAGCCAGCAGGGGTTGAGAGGTCATGTGGGCTGGCCTCCTCATTGTACTGACCGGGTAACTGAGGCCCAGAGGCAGGAGGGGACTTGCCCAAGGCCTATAACAGAGCCAGGATGCAATCCCACACCCTGACCTCATTCCATTCTCTTTCCACAAATTCCAGAGTCTTTTAGACTGGATTGGTCTAGGAGATATGGGGTCCTCTAAACGGCGGTGCCTTGAGGAGAAAGAAACTCAGAACAGCTGAGGTCACTTAAAATTTATCCACTATTCCCGCCCAAAGGCAACTACCGTGTAAGCTCTTGGCTGAGTAACTCGACTCTGGCTTACAACTAACCAGGGGAAGAAGCTGCCATAGCCTCCTCTGGTCACCTGTTGAATTTGATCATTCCATGACAAAAATGTCCTAGAAAGTTCTTTCTGGAATCTAACCAGAATTCCTCTTGCTGCTACAATCAGAGCCCTGTCCTCTGTTCTCAGTGGAGTTAAATAGCAACTTGTTGCTGTCTTGTGTGTGTCACAACCCTTCAAAGTCTGTTATTACCAGTTAAGAAGGATTGGTTGTGGGCCAGAGGGGTTGAGCCTGCTGGTGGGATGGACACTATGCAGAAGGGTGGGGAGGTAGCAGGCAGAATGAGGAAAGCCCCATTGGGCTGCAGCCCCAGCGCTTGTCCTGCTGACTCAGGGGCTGACTGTGGAGCTCTGTGCCCTGCCAGGGCCTGCTGCCTCCTGCCCACCTGGGCTCCTAGACTTGGGAAATGGAGGCCCAGAGGCAAAGGGAGGTGGCTGAGACAGGAACTGAGTCAGGATCGACAGGCCAGAGCGGGCAGGAGGTATCTTGCAGCAAGGCTCCAAGATTCCTCCCTTAACTTCAGCTGGGGCGGTGGAGGGGAGGGGGGCAGGAGTGAAGGGGCTTCCTTTACCCTGCTCAGGGCTGTGCTGAGGGAATGGGGCTTGTGGCGAACCACCACCAGTTCCCCTGGTTTAAGTGGCGGGAGAGAATGCTCCCTCTCTGGAGACAGAAACAGCTCTAAAATTCCTAGGCCTGTCAGGCTCTGCCTTTCAGTTTCCTGGTGTACCGGAATCTCCAGCTTTCTCCCAGGACTTCAGAAAGCCGGAGCTGGCTGATTAGTGCCAATAAGGTCCTTGAGGAATGTCCTAGATGGGGAGGGAGGAGGCAGGGCTGACACATCTGACCACTTATCCATCTTGAGAGGGGAGCCTGTGGGCAAACTCTTTTCTCCCCTGTGGACATCCAGCTGGACAGGGTCTGGTCTTCAGCGGAGGCCTGGA